CATATCATTCATGAATATTTACACATGAAAAAGCTTTGCGCGCGTTGGGTGCCGCGTTTTTTGATAATTGAGCAAAAAGCGGAACGTGTTCGACTTTCAAAGCAAAATCTGGCCCTGTTTAACCGCAATAAGAAGGAGTTTTTGCGTCGATTTGTCACAATGGATGAAACATGGATCCATCACTACACACCGGAGTCCATTCGGCAGTCAGCGGAGTGGTTATTGTCTGGTGAAAGCCGTCCGAAGCGCCCGAAGACACAACGATCAGCCGGCAAGGTTTTGACTAGTATTTTTTGGGATGCGCATAACATAATATTCATTGATTATCTTGAACATGGTAAAACTATCAATAAAGAATATTACTGTACATTACTGGATCGATTGGACGACGAGGTCAAGGACAAACGGCCACATTTGGCAAAGAAAAAAATTTTGTTTCACCAAAATAATACTTCAGCTCACTCGGCTCGCGATGTGACCGATAAATTAAAGAAATTGCGCTATGAATTGGTCCCGCATCCCCCGTATTCTCCAGACCTGGCCTCCAGCGACTATTTCCTTTTTCCCCGACTGAAGTAGTGGCTCGCTGATAAAAGATTTTACTCGAATGAGGAGGTCAAGTTGGAAACAAATGCCTATTTTGAGGGACTTGACACCGAGTACTATAAGACCGGCATCGAAATGTTAGCGGACCGTTACACTAAGTGCATTACTCTAAATGGAGATTATGTCGAGGAATAAAACACTTTTTTCATTAAAAAAATCGTTTTTTCATTGTTAAGCCAAAGACTTTTCAGCCCATGTAGTACACATATATACTTTAAAAAAATAATTTGAATTTGAAATTTTTAAAAATAACACAATAACGTGTTGCGCTTGTACTTGGTATCTTTTTTTACTTTTTGTTTATTAAAATTACATCGTACTTATGAAACTTCTTTTGTTTATAACTTGCCAATAAACAACAACATTTATTTATAAACAGTACGTGTTTCTAAGAATGCGAAGCCTCGTCTCTGCCCACACATGTGTAAAGATTACCATACTTAAATGTATTCTTGATTAATGAAACTTTTTTTGTTAATAACATTGTTTTAATAAACAACGAGCAACGCCTTTTGCATTTTGCTCAGAATGATTGACCTTGACACCATATGTCAAGGTTAATGTCATTGCAGTATCCTTCCCTAAATAGAAGTTTTACCGAGAATAATACCGAATATGTAAGTACGCTTCGAAAGCATTCGCAAATTCGAATGCTTTTCGCGTTTATCATCCGTCGAAGTAATTATTTGGAATAAATTAATGTGGTAGATTAAATTGTAACTTTTTGTTTTTCTTATCTTAACATGCTGCAATCTAGAAACGCGAATCAATGTGTTTGAGAAATAGAAAATTGCATTCTTAAATCCGAAATCTCAAATCTAACAAGGGGAGGACGCATCGACCGAGAAACGATTTGGAACGAAACTTACGGAGTTAATAGTACTTGGCTACTAATAACTCATGGTAATAGCATACGACGCAATACCTCTTCGTTTTCGAGAAAAAACGGTCTAAAGAAAAGAGCCAACAAAGTGTTCAAGTTAGTAAGGAGGATGTTCAACGAAACGGCGTAGCGGAGCAGCGAAGGTAACAGACTGCCGAGCTGACGGCTCAGGTTCGATCCATGCTGTATAGTCCTTTTTTATTCTGTAAGCATAAAAATGAAACAGAAAACATTAATAAATGATAAAAGTGCGTTTCTTAAATATATTAGTGTTTGTTAAATATATTATTAATGATTTAAATTGCAAAAAGACCGTAAATCTTATGTATAAAATATATAGCGTATGAGAAAATTTTTATATTATAATTGCAATGGAAATAGGAATAAAAATATTGTTATGAAATATATAGGAATGCTACTAACCCTTTGCGGTCAATGCCGCCACAGTGGCGGCATTCGTAAGTCGTCGTAGAAGTCGATGCCGCCAGGCTGGCATTCATGATCGCCTGGCGTGCGGCACGGCAAATGAGGCTAGCGATAATGAAAGAAAACTATCCTCCCGATGCTAGATTCAAATGTTTATATCAACTTACAGATATCCATGTTTATCGATCTCTTCGAAATCAGCCGATCGCAAAGAGTAAAACTAGTATGAGATAATTTTTCGTAATCTTACCATCTGGTATATCGTGTATATAAAATATTTATTTCTGTTACAATTCTCTATGTTGTATTGAAGTCGTGTTGTGTTGAAGTTATGTTGTGTCTTTATCTCTTCTGGCAATCCCCCTCCAAAAACTTCCTTTGTGTCATTCTAAACGATCGTTAAGAATGACGAAATGATTTGAGCATCGGAACAGTCGTCAGTAAAGCAAGCAGCAATGTGCGTTTACTAGTGATACAGAGCAATTCGGTGATCATATTTAAATTACATATATCATAACAACGTCAGAGAATCCTTCAACAAGCAAAATAGTTGGTGTAGAATTGCTAGAAGAAAGATCTTTTGAAAATGAAGATTTTAAAGGTGAATTCACTAATGCTCTCGTATATGCGAATTCTATTTACGAGAATAATGAATTATTATCGAAAAATCCTCCAGCGAAAATATATATTTTTACTCCTATTTCCATTGCAATTATTATATAAAAATTTTCTCATACACTATATATTTTATAGATAAGATTTAGGGTTTTTTTTGCAATTTAAATCATTAATAGTATATTTAACAAACACTAATATATTTAAGAAATGCAGTTTTATTACTTATTAATGTTTTCTGTTTCATTTTTATGCTTACAGAATAGAAACAAACTATACAGCAGCAGGGGATCGAACCTCAGCCATCACCTCGACAGTCCGTTACCTTCGCTGCTGCGCTACGATGCTTCGTTGAATATCCTTCTTACTAACTCGTACACTTTGTTGACTCTTTTCTTTAGACCATTTTTTCTCGAAAACGAAGAGGTATTGCGTCGTATGCTATTACCATGAGTTATTAGTAGTCAAGTACTATTAACTTCGTAAGTTTCGTTCCAAACCGTTTCCGTTCCCGGTCAATGCGTCCTCCCCTTGTAAGAGGTATGTCGGTATATTATTTCGGTAGAATTTCACAAGAATAGATGGATTTCAAAATGTAGTATAGAAAATAAGTGCAGAAAATGTTTCTTTCGTGGATACCATGAACGTCGGTTTGTGTCGTTGCACTGCAGATCCGAGAGTGTTATTTTGACGCACATAAGTGTGTAATTGGTTGAAACTTACTTCATAACGTTCTTGCGTCTTACACCATATCATTTAATACGTTTAAACGTGTTAAGCGATGTCTAAATGAATTAAACAATGTAATTTAAGACGACGAGAAACGTGGAAAACAATTTAGGTTATACGTGTCAAAATAACACATTCAAGTTTACAGTGTAGACTTTGTAAATCCGAATGTGTTATTTAAATATGCATATGCGTGTGATAGGCTGAAACTTTCTTTATACGATTCATGTATTTATTTAGACATCATTTTACACGTTTAAACATGTTAAATGACCTGATTTAAGACAAGAAACAAGTAGAGAAAGTTTAAGCTTATATGTGTCAAAATAATATACTTGGGTTTGTGGTGTACAAAAAAACTATCAACTCTATGTTAGTGAAACGTGATTGACCCTAAACTCCGGGTTGAGACGATCGCGTTGCGCTTGGATCGTGTGTCAAGAATGAATATTTGTATGCCATATATCGATCTACTCTATCGCAATTACTTACTCGATTCTCGTCATTTCGAAGTCCGCTGCATCGAAAATTTTTATATGCGAAAACGTCGTGATGCTGTTGTATTCACGCGACATGCTATAATCATAAGTCGATATATAATACGGGTCGAAAGCGAAATATCCAAAGGAAAAACATCGTTCATCAAGTGAGGATTTAACGATTCTATGTGCTTTATACATCTCCCTATATCGGCCTGGCTGTGATTGCAAATGTGCAATTGTGGTACTAAAAACAAATTATATACTACGTTCGCAATTTCTTCCTCGCATTTCAGTTTTGAAAAACATGCGATTCGTCGGAGGGCAGTGAGTCGACTCGCCAACACCAGATTACATGAATCTCTCTTAGAATAGAGTTCTACTCGCGAGATTAAAATGAAGATACAAATATCAGCTGTTCGAAAAAACTTTCGGCTTTGCGTGATGATTATACGATTCTTTACACATGATCCCTGGATCATGGTCAGACCTCATCACGGTCATCATGCTCATTAAAAGAACAAGCGGGAAAATAACGCACATTGTGTCCTATCCTGAATGATCCTCTGTTGAATTCAAACTTAATATCATGTTGAAATATTGAGTGATTTCGACACGTGAATTTTACTATTACTGCATAATGTCCCAAATGTGCGAATTCCACAATTGGCCACCTCGCGTCATTCTCATTTCTGCGTCTCCTGTTAATATATTTATCCGACGAGGCAGTATTCGCATTTCGAACACGACGATCATGTATACACACGATGTAAGTTACAAGCGGCCTCGTGGTTTAATATTGTATCAATGCACTTTTTGAGGGAATAATACTGAACCTATAAGCACGCGCCGAAAGTTCTCACGAAATACTATGATTTCAGCTAAAGCGACTGCTTGGAAGGAACATAGATTGCGAAGCGAATATATAAATCGCAGTCTTTAATTTTTACAGCAATGATAATGGGACAGTCATTCGCGTCCTCAAGAAGAGGGAATAGATCGAAAAATTCTGCTAGATATTCGAAAAGATCCAGCGAGAATATATTGAGAAAGAAGAACATCTGAAAATGTTAGATATTTCATCCGTTGCCGCTAAATCTTCATGTTGTTGAATAGAGAAAGAAATAAAGAAATAGAGAAAGAGAGAGAATGAGAGAGAATGAGAGAGAGAGAGAGAGAGAGAGAGAGAGAGAGAGAGAGAGAACGAGAAAGGGAGAAAGGAGAAGAGAGAAGTTTACGTATAATTAATATATTACCTCGAATTTCATTTGTGACGTGCATAACTCTTTATTGCGTTTGTTGAAATTATAAATAAATTTATATAATTTAAGTGTCGATATTTTCATAAAGGTAAAAATATTGCAAAACGCATTAACATGAACTTTTTTCCTCTACAAGGAAAACAAATCTTGCCTATTGCACATATTCTTTTCTTTCTAAGAATTCTCAAGCATATGCGTACTTTCCGGATAATAATATGTCCGAATATATTTTACAATTACGACAGAATTGTTCTGGACGCCGTTTAAGAAAAAGCTGATGCTCCAATAAAAGAATTTATTTTTGGACTGCCAAAAAATAATTTATTTTATTGAACCATCGACTAGTGTTGTAAAATACTTCGAGAAAAAATTCTCCTGATTGTATCAATTCCAAGTCAACAGTCGTTTGTGTAAGATCTAGGACCTTTTGATCTAAAAAAGATCTACACACATTATTTCTGATAAGGTCGGTAACGCGAAATGGTCATGGTTGCGGGCGACAACTCACGAGTTTGGTCGGTTATGATGAAAGTTGAAGTGATAGTATACGAGAAATCTAATGCTGCGCAAAAAAAACACGAAAAACATAGGTTTTTTATCATACTTTTATACATAGGATGAAAGTACAATAAAGAGACACTATGTGCACTATGTGTACTATCATGCGAATTCTGTCATAACCACAAACCTGCGAGCACCTCGTGCGTATTTGATGTGTGCAGAACACGATCGAAAAAAAAGCTATTTTCCAAAGCAGCCTATACTAATTTTCCTAACAAAATAATAAGTAACTAATGCGCAACTGATTAGCGGTGCTAGCGAGTAACATTCATTATAAAATAATTAGTCTCCTTGTCGTGACAATAAAATCAAAAGAACAGAATATTTTAACGAATCATTAACATATAAATTGGGAAATTGTAATAGATGCTATGCGTGATATCCTGGATAATTTCAGCTGCGAGGTATTCGAGACGAATTTTTAATTCTGAAGTCAATGTGTCCCACTTCATTTGAAAATATTCATTTGCTTCTTTATTTTGATATCCGGATGTACCTCTTTGCTTTTTTGTTATCATCATATCTCCCCTATTTTTGAATTCCACGGTAACATTTTCCACGTACAAATGTTTTCTTCTGGTTATTTGGTCCGTATAATTCGATCCATGTATAATAATTTCAGCAGTAACGTTCATAATATGGCTGCTTAATCTGAATCTGTTACATTTAATAAGTGCAGATGTATGCGGCAACGAGACAAATGCGTCGAGCTTAGTGGTCACGTTGATGAATGGAAAGTACGCGGAGAACTGAATATCACAATTTTCGTTAGCAACTCTGAAAATAACAATTTTAGGATAGTTTAGCTAGTCACGAACCGCGGTCGGATTCACTATGTAAATCTTCTCAGCTGGCCAAGTAACTATTACTTTTTTTGTCGTACAGCGAATATTGTCCGGATGTATCAATTGATTATTGCTTTGCACATTTTTAAAGTCCTTAACACTCCCTTCGGACAATATAGGAATTCTGAATATCTGACAATATTTGTCGTACACGTGAATTATTAGCTTAACGATACCGAACGACCCGCCGATGTGTCCATCTGTTAGATAATAATTACTTACTTGACTTCTTTTATCGTGAAGTTTGATATACCTCTGACAAATGTATCTGTAAACTTGCACTTTGGAATAAACCTGTTTTGAAAGATTATCTTGTAAAACTGCTTATGATATGGCTCAATAGAGGGTATTTCCAAATTCGGAACACCTCTCACTAAGTAAGGCTTCATTGATTCCAGGCTTTGCGGTAAACATCCTTGGAGATTTAATTTTGGACATAAGTGGAGATTCGGTACTAATAACAAAATAAAGTATCCTTGCAATCTTTCTTTTGTACGTATATCAAAGCGACGTAAGTCGTCAATCTTACGTTCGATCCGAAAAGCGCGCAGTTCTCATGAGAAGAAAAATCGACGCGGATCGACGAATAAGGTGTATCCGGAATAGATAGGCATAGGGGATAGATGGTCAATTATTATAATTTTGTTAATATATGCTAGACGTCAGCGTTGATCAGTCAGTTGTGAGTTGGAGTAGATGTGTATCTTCCTGATATACAAAAACACTGTTGTTATGAATAAATAAATGTTTTATGTTTCTATTAAGTTCCAAAATGTTTGACACGGCGAAATAATACCTTGCAAATATGGTTTATTTTGAATTGCGACATTAGACCTGGCCTTAAATAACTAAAAGCACATTGTAGTTAACCTAAAAATTCGTTACCGAGATGACGTATGCCCAACTATCCCTTGACATACGACCATCTATCCCTCACAGAATATTTTTAATATTTTGTTATTATTGGCGTCCCATAAATTTTTTTCACAAGAACTCTTTTGTACCTTAAACATTATCCTCCACTGAATGTGTTAATATGTGGTTGACCATTTATTACATTAATAGAGATGTGTTATTTTCAATTAAAAAACTATGTCCATCTATCCCGGACTTATCCTATGTTAGATCGCGTGTATCCGTTACAAGTCGCAGAAAACTGAGTATTATACGTGCTTATACTCGTCGGAGAATATTACTTTATTCAACGATCACAGTGTTACTTACATATCTTCTTTAGCTGGATGGCAGACATCTTCACGATCAAGCCACTCGTTATAACTAGGAGCACAAAGATGGTACGCATTGTTGGCTGAGAAAAAGTCCTTGCTTCAATTCGAGCTTAACGAAATGCTGAGCAATTTCGACGTGCAGATTTATCGGCAATAGTGTAACTGTATGATTTCGACGATAATCCAGCCACCTCGCGATGTTTTCGATCTCACGACTTTCGTTAACATACCTGTTCGACGCTTCGAGAGTGTATCTTATAGACAGCGATCACGTGTCGACATGATGTAAATCACGAGTTGTCTCTTTGTTTAGCGTTGGGGCGGAGACACATTGAGAAGACAACGGTAAATGTGTAAACACTTGACGAATGTTTTCACTAAATCCTTGCAAAAAGTCTCCCTTTGTCTTCCTCCGATTGTCTTCCTCCGAGGCGATTATTTGGAACGAAATAATTTGTCGATTAAAATTATAACATCAGGTTTTACCTTAACGCATCGCATCTTGAGACTTGAATTGATGATTTCAGTTTTTGAAATGTCAACAATTGGAGAGATCGATTTGAGTCTACATCGGGAAAGATAGATTTTCACGAGGGATGATAATGCACTGAACGAGAAAATATTTGAATATGGAAAATGTATCTTTCCCGATTTTTAATAACTTCGACTCACACTGTTATTTGTCCGATATCGCATAAAATATTTCCTGTCGATGTTTATACGCGTATACAACTCTCATGTTAAATTAATTAAGGATTAATATACTACACTTCAAATTTTTTCTTTAACGTATACAACTTATTATTTTTTGTTAAAATACAAAATGATTTTGTACCATATTTGCATGACAAAAATGTCAGCAATATAGAGGTGTTAGAATGATGTTTTATTTTACAAACGAGTTTGCTCATTAGATCATCGATTACGTTCTAAGCTGCATAGAAAAAACCAAGCTTATTCTTATTTGCATAACGGTTTATAAATGCTATCTACGACAAAGGTACAAGTGCACCGAATGTTCAAGATTGTTCGATGATTGATTGTGATAGAAGGCGAAGTGATAATACGGGAGATATTCGACGTTACAACTCTAACGAGAGATTTGCGATGAATCCAAGTATTTTTATTAAAGTCTACCAAAATAAAAATACAATAAACTATTTATACCATCTACAATCATTCAAAGTTTGTTATAATCGTTTGTCACGCTCACATTTTTTATCGTTTGATGCGTACTTAACGTCGTCAGAAGTGAAACTTTTTGTAAATCGATGCATGTGAATGATCGCTTAATATGAAATAATAAGTTGCGCATAATTGGTTGTTCTGAAGATTAATATTTGTCATATAGTGTGATGGATGTTTCGTCAAAACGGTAAAATACAGACAACTCAGCGTTTTAGGCAGTCAGCAATACATTAATTGGATATTACAAGATTTTATTCGCTGTTGTCTGGATAATATCAGATGTGAATAAATGAATTACATGCATGTTTTGGGAAGCTTCCCAATTGTCATGCAGATAGGAATTTATATTTCTGATTGTTTGGAACTGCGATTTGCTTATTATTTCCTAGGTGGTCTTAACACCCCATTATGCTTTCGAATAGTACGTTGACATAGTAAACGTTGAAATATCTATAGGCCGTTGTCCAGTGCTCGTTATGTTCACCTTGTATAATGATGCTAGCGTTGACATTTGTCAAGTCACTTCTTACAAAGTGAGACGTGAGAAATGCAGTCGCAGTATACAAGTTGTAGTTAGCCGACACATTGATGGATGGAAAGTATGCGTTAAATTTAATCTCATGCATACTGCGGGTAAAGTTGCTGAAACCGACCGAGACTTTAATGACCAACAATCGTCTCGCTCTGATCTTATTTACACGTCTTTCGTATATTTATCCAACGTGACCACCATATGACGAAGTATAATATGAAGTATATGATGTGTAATATGAGGATTCATATTATAAATGCAAACGTCACCCGTCAATAGAATGTAAATCACAAGCAGCTTTGTTGTTTATCATTGAGATATGGTATTTAACGGGAGAATAATAATATTAAATATGCAAGAGCACTTTGCAAGCATTTCGCGAAATAGCGCCCTTTGCAATCATCACCCTTCGACATATTGGGAGAACAATGATAAATATATAAACACATGACAAATGTTCTCCCTAAATCCTTCCAAAATATCGTCCTTCGTTATCGTTATTCGACGAGGTAATCACTTAGAAGGAAATAATTTGCCGGTTAAAATTATAATTATAACATCGGCTCTTATCTTAACGCGTTGCATTAAGTGATTTGAATTGATGACGTCAGTTTTTGAAATGTTAGCAATCGGGAAGATCGATTTGCGTCTACATCGGCGAATTCTGTTTGCATTGAGAAAATGACTTCTGTCATCATAACAACTGAACGTTTGCTGTTTGATAATTGTACGGGAAATAAATCAAACAGTTACCGCAACAAATCATTTTTATTTATAATTTTAACAAGTATACATCACTGGAGGTGCAAATCATATATGTTTGTTGGATATACAGCATTTCATAAAAAGAAGAGCAACATAACGGCATAATATACAGGGTGTTTGATAGCTGATCATGCAGATGAAAGTTGGAGATAGATTGGGTGTAGCCGAGAAGAAAAGTCATGTACCATAATGTCAAATTGGCAATAGTTACCGAGTTATTGATTAAAACATATGAGCCAATGAGCGCGTAGAGAGCGGAGGGCGGCCGTAGTAAGCACGTAGACATTTGATATAGGCGGAGTCAGTGAGTGACGTTAGGCAAACGCGCGCGGCGAGGGGCAACGTAAGCGACAAGAGACGATCGCGCGCGACGAGAAGCGAGCGAGCTCTTTCTTTATAGCTTTTTCCTTATTAGCTCGCTCGCTCCTTGTCGTTCGCGCTCGCTCGCTCCTCGTCGCGCGCATTCGCCTCTTGTTGTTTACGTTGCCTCTCGCCGCGCGCGCTCGCCTACCGTCACTCGCTGACTCCGCCTGTATCAAATGTCTATGTGCTTACTGCGGTCGCCCTCCGCTCTCTACGCGCTCGTTGGCTCACATGTTTTAATTAATAACTCGATAACTATTTGACATTATGGTACATGACTTTTCTTCTCGGCTATACCCAATCTATCTCCAACTTTCGCATGATCAGCTATCAAACACCCTGTATAATTCAAGTAAAAAAATTCATATAAAACAAGAGGAAATAAATTCATACGATATATAAGTATAATTCTTTCAATAAAAAATAAAATATATGGCATACGTTACCTTTCTGTTATGTATATACACAAGACGATCGGCTTCTTTCGCTCCTGTCACTATGAAATAGCAAGGGAGTAGGGTTAGGAGCAGCCATGAAATATAATAGTTGTAGATAAGAGTGTGTACTGCTCTCTTCAGATCCAGATCTCACTCGCTCCACTCTCGTTATCATAAGCACCTAAAGATTTGTTACATTAACAAAACACTAGTAACCACAACAAGCGGTTTGTTAGTGTGAAACACCAAATAATTCCGTTCTGATAACAAATAATTTGTAACTTGTGATTTGTTGTTATAACTAACAATTTTATAGTGGCAACAAATGATATTGTTACGTTAATCCAACAAATAATAAATTTTTTATTTATTGGCAATATGGAATGTGAGCAAAAATTAGAAATCATATATAAGCAAATCAGTTGTATTAACTTTTTCATCAACGTATAATATATAGCAGAATATATAAAATACTTGATGAAACCACGCATACAATGTTATATCAGCATATATCATAATTACCAGATAACTCAAATATAACTCCATTACATCTAATCAAACATTGATAAAGAAGGGTTATCAAAATAATAATTCTATGTGTGTTTTTCAGGAATTTGGAGAAAGAAATTACTACATTATAACATTATTCTTTATCTTTATTTTTAGCACGACATATTATATAAAATTAAGAAACTGTTAGATAAGGTTAAGTAAGATCAAGCGAAATATACATATAAAGACTCCTATTGCAAACATACTTTTATCAATAAGAAAGCCTGTAAAATTGTTTGGCAATTATTTAAATAAGCTCATAAATCACATTTTAAGAAACACTTTCATCCATACAGAGTGTCCGGAATTTTTTAGAAACAAAAAATTGTGAAGATTAATCAGATCAAACTGAGGAAAAAAGTCAAGAACCATTTTGCAAAATCCGCAACAGTTATTAAATTATTAATGATTGAAAAAATGATAGATATGAATATATTGAACTTTGAACCCTGAATCTTGAAACTGTCATTAAGCATAATAGCCGTCACATAATTGTAAATTAGATCATTCTGAATAAAAAAATCCCTTACCATTTTGCAAATAAGTACGTAAATTTTCAAGTTATCAATTAAAGAGGTTATCAATTTTAGACTTGATCATTTTCAATCATTAATAACTTAATAACTATTGCGATTTTTGCAAAATAATACTTAATTTTTCTTCTCAATTTGATCTAATTAATCTCCACAAATTTTCGTTTCCAAAAAATCCTGGATATCCTGTATATAAGAGTTCAGAATATATGCTACGGAAGAGTCATTAACATATATACAGAGTGTTTGATAGCTGATCATGCAAACGAAAGTTGGAGATAGATTGAGTGTAGCCGAGAAGAAAAGTCATGTACCATAATGTCAAATTGCCAATAGTTATCGAGTTATTAATTAAAACATGTGAGCCAACGAGCGCGTAGAGAGCGGAGGGCGACCGCAGTAAGCACATAGACATTTGATACAGGCGGAGTCAGCGAGTGACGGTAGGCGAGCGCGCGCGACGAGGGGTAACGTATGCGACAAGAGGCGATCGCGCGCGACGAGGAGCGAACAAGCGCGAACGACGAGGAGCGAGTGAGCGCAAGCGACAAAAGACGAGCGAGCGCGACGAAGAGCGAGCGAGCTATAAGGAAAAAGCTATAAAGAAAAAGCTCGCTCGCTCCTCGTCGCGCGCGATCGCCTCTTGTCGCTTACGTTGCCCCTCGCCGCGCGCGTTTGCCTAAAGTCACTCACTGACTCCGCCTGTATCAAATATCTACGTGCTTACTGCGGCCGCCCTCCGCTCTCTACGCGCTCGTTGGCTCACATGTTTTAATTAATAACTCGGTAACTATTGCCAATTTGACATTATGGTACATGACTTTTTTTCTCGGCTGCACCCAATCTATCTCCAACTTTCGTCTGCATGATCAGCT